GAAGTTTTCTTGGGGCCAAGGGCTGCCTCCCTTGGCCACCAGCCCCGAAGAGAGCTCCCTTTCCTCCCCCATTCCCAGAATTATTTGGCTGTGGGTCGCCAAGGAGACAGCTAACAATTTCCATTTGCCAGGCCTCCCCCTGGAGCTCTGCAGAGACAGTCTGGAAACTCCCTGCTCCGTCCAGCACCCCAGCCAGGGAACTTGGAGGATCTGGCCAGGCTGGGGCAGGGGCTGTGGGAGACGGGAGGAGAAGCCAAGCAGCCTGAAAGTGGAGAGAATGGAGGCTTCCCTGGCCTCAAACACCTGGCCCATTCTCAAAGGCTAAGGGCCAGCCTGGCAGGGTGCCCCGTCTGCTCTCTCCAGACAGTCACCCATCGGATCCAGCCAAGACTCCAACCAGGCCTTCAACCACAGAAAACTGTCCCTGCACTGTCACTTCAGGTTTGGTAGGAGCCTCATCGCCCGCCAGGGTAGATCCTGGGAGCTGGAGAGCCAGGAGCCCTGACTCAGGGAAGGAAACTCGGCCATGCTGAGAATTTTGCTCATGGGAAGCAGCATCCAACACACACCTAGTGTCTTGGCCTGCACTCCAGTTTCCTTGGTAATAATAGCAACACTGTTTATAATAACAGCAGTAGTGTAGCGGGTGTCAGTTTTACTTCACAAACTTAGGTGTGCAAAGATATCCATTCCTTTCTTTCCTTCAAAACAAATAGAACAGGGGCCGGCACTGTGGCACAGCGGGTTGATGCCCTGGCCTGAAGCGCCAGCGTCCTATGTGGGCGCCAGTTCGAGTCCTGGCTGCTCCACTTCCTGTACAGCTCTCTGCTATGGCCTGGGAGGGCAGTGGAGGATGGCCCAAGTCCTTGGGCCCTTGCACCCACGTGGGAGACCCAGAGGAGGCTCCTGGCTCCTGGCTCCTGGCTCCTGGCTTCGGTTCAGCGTGGCTCTGGCCATTGTAGCCATCTGGGGAGTGAACCAGCAGATGGAAGACCTCTCTCCCTCTCTCTCTCTCTCACTGCCTCTCCTCTCTCTGTATGGCTCTGGCTTTCAAATAAATAAATCTTTTTTAAAAAGTAACAAACAGGGTAGACTCCATTGCTGGGGCTCCTGCATCTGCCAGATCCCACCAGAATCCAGGTAGTTTATGACCATGGTTTGAATGTGTCCCCTCCAAAATTCTTGTGTTGCCAATGTGATAGTAAGAGGAGATATTCCTGAGGGCTCCTTCCTCATAAGTGGGATTAGATGCCCTTATAAAAAGGCCTGACGGAGGGAGTTCACTCTCTCTTTGCCTTGCCATCTCTCATCCTGTAAAGATGCAGTGTCCAGGTTCCACCTTGGAAGTAGACATCAAACCTAAAGTCATTGTGGCCTGACCCTTGGCTAGGCTTGGTCCAGGTTCTTCTCTCTTCCTGAGAAGGAATTCAAGGAACATAAATAGAGACATACAAAAAACAAGGTTTATTTACCTGCAAAGCAAAAATACAATCAAGAAGGACTATAGGCAAACTTGGGAGAGAGAGCTGCAATCAACAAAGACTGGGACCTTCTTTATCTACAATCTGTGGGCATAAGGGGTGGCATATGGGGTAGGACTTAATGTTTAAGGGGATGGAGTTTGGGGTGGGGCTTAAGTACTGCCCATTTCCACGGCCTTTCTTGGAAATCTTGGAGGTGTCAGGGTGCATCATGGGACTGGGAGTGTTGGCCGTAGTGATTTTATTATAGCGACTTAAAGGTCATCATGGGGACACTGCATGCAGCTGTATTGGGTGTTTCCAGCTGGGGCCGGTTCTAAGTTTGCAGCACCGTGGAACTTTCGATTTCCACCACATGGGAGGTGAAGTTAGTGATTTGGGTGGTGCACAAAAGGAGGTTTGGCCAATGCACAGAAGGGGGTTTTGGGTGGCGCAAGCGTGGCTATCATCCAGGCCACCGCAGCCATGCCAACAAGCCAAGGCTGTTGTGCCATGGACAATTCAGGGCTGCAGAAGAGTGATACTGTTAAGTGTTAGCTCCTCCTTGATAATGCTACTTCCATTCCTACATCAAAGTCATCCTGGACTTCCCAGAATCCACAACTGTGGAGATAAACTTCTGTTCTGTCTAAGCTACCCGTTCTCAACTCTTCTGTTACAACAGCACACAATGGAGTATGACACTTATGGGGTCCCACAGAGAAAGGCCCCTGACCTCGGGCCCATCACAGATGCTGACCTCATTGTCCGAGTCTTCAGGGTTCTGAGAGGCTGACGACAGCTCCCCACATGGCCCATCCCCTCAAGACTGGTCCTTTCCTAGGGACCCCGTGACCTCTGCTCTACTCCCAAACTCAGGGACATCTCTTCCTGCCCGCACCAACTGCCCCCTGAAGGCACTCTGCTTGCCTCTTCTCCCCCATGCCACCAACACACCTCTCACAACTGCTCAGTGAATTCTAGCTTTCATGAAATTAGGAAAACGTGGCCGGCACCGCGGCTCACTAGGCTAATCCTCCGCCTGTGGCGCCGGCACACCGGGTTCTAGCCCTGGTCGGGGCGCCGGATTCTGTCCTGGTTGCCCCTCTTCCAGGCCAGCTCTCTGCTGTGGCCCAGGAGTCCAGTGGAGGATGGCCCAGGTGCTTGGGCCCTGCACCCACAGGGGAGACCAGGAAAAGCACCTGGCTCCTGCCTTCGGATCAGCGTGGTACACCGGCCACAGCGTCCATTGGAGGGTGAACCAACGGCAAAGGAAGACCTTTCTCTCTGTCTCTCTCACTGTCTACTCTGCCTGTTAAAAAAAAAAAAAAAGAAAGAAAGAGATTAGGGAAACGTTAACTGTGATGTGGAGCAGGTACTGCTCCTGCGGTGGGAAAATGCCCCTGACGATGTAGGATGAGAGGCCGGCTGAAGCAGCTCCGGTTCTATGTTGATAGAAGTGTTCTAAGGTAAACTAAAGACAGCATCACCGTCATCCCTGAATATTTTAGTATTCATTTAAAAAAACAGGAACATTGTCTTACACAATCACAAAACTTCTCACGCATAACAAAAGTAACAATGATTTTTTAAAATACTGTTTAATAAACAATTAGCCCCATTTTATGGAGGAAAATCTAAGACTTAGGGTAAGTTAGCAACTTCCTCAACGTCCCTCAGCTGGTGGGCAACAGGGCCGGGAACTGAACCCCGCTGTGATCTCCAGTCAACACTGCCGCACCACAAGCTCTGCCCACTGGTTTATACTCTCTTGCTCGTGCACCCAGCTCCTAACACTGCCATGAGCAATCAAGAAACAGAGGCCCAGAGAAACAGCATGCATTGTCGAAGCTGCCCAGGAAGGGCTGGTTGTGAAGGGGCTGTGGGAACGGGAAAGCGATAGGAGGCGAGTCTGTCTTCCTCCCCTTCCTTGCTCTCCTGCTCTGTTCCTGTCCCTCTCTCAGCCTTTCCATCCACGGCCTCCTTCATTTCCTCTCTGGTCTCCAAGGTGCAATTTACAAAGTGACTGAGTGGTGAGTACTGCCGGTCCTCTGTCCCTCCCTCTTGCCTCCTCCCTCTAAACCCAGCCAGGAACACAGCGGGGAAACTGCAGAGCCTCTGACCCATCCTCTCTGGCCACAGCTCGTCGCCTGCTGGGGTCCCCTAGGCCCCAGGCCTGGCCTCTGGCAAGGCACACACGCAAAGGCCGTGGATTTGCAGGAGCAGCTGCTGCTTCCATTCCAGCCCAGCTGTTTCTACCCTGCCGCAGCCTGCTTCTCCGAAACCCTGGGCCTTCAGGATTGGGATTCAAAATGGTTACAACAGGCTGGAGGCTGTGTTAAAACCCACAGCACGAAGGAGGGGAGGCAGGTTGGCTCAAAAAGGCAGCAGTGTGAGGGCAAGACAAGAAGAGGTGAGTTCACCCCCATCTGTCTTGCTGCTGTCCCCCGCCTGGTGGAGGGCACTGGTTCCAGCCAGAGCACTACTGCTCGTGGGACATGGAGTGGCTCAGCACGCTCATCGCCAGCCTCGTAGACAGAGGATGCAGGCCCAGGGCAGCTCTAGAGCAGCGTGTCCTGGCAGGAGGGCCTAATTCCCTCCACAGGCCACAGAGACTTAACTTCTGGGCAAATCAAACCCTTGCTGAAGGCCAGGGCCTCCTTCCACGCTTCTCCAATTCCTGCTGCCTGAGTTCTCACTGTGTGCCCCCCAGACAAGGACTGCAGCCCACCTTGATTGAGGGGGACCCAGGTGTCAGGTCCTACTCTTAGCCCCCACAGGAACATCTAATGGACTTCTGAAGACATTCCCAGTTAGGCAGGGTGGGGATAGGAATGCACAGTGCATATGACTATAGAGTCAGGCAAACCCGCCCACCCCACTACCGTGGGAGCCTGGCTCTCAGGAGCCATGGGCCATCTGCTCCATAGCTGAATTAGGAGGGAACAGAACTCAAGACTCTGGGAAGGGAAGAGGGGGTGGGGAGGTGGGGTCCTAGCTGTAGACTGGACAAGGGTGGGGCAGAGTCTGCCCATACAGCCACAGTCCTGGGGCAGGTGAGAGGCCAGAGGGCCAGGGTGCCTCCCCAGTCCAGGAGTCTTCCTGGCATCCGGCTCTGACTGGTCCTGTCCTGGCTGAGCCGGGATGAACTTGACACCAGACATCAGATCCCCCTTCTCAGTGGGGTCCAGTTCACCTTCCCCTCCCCTAACCCTGACACCAGAGGATGGAAAAATCTGACCCCATCTCAGGCTGTCACTCAAAGTCAGCTAGAGCAGCAGGATATGCTGAGAGAAGGCGGGGCAGAGAGAGGAGGTGGGGCTGGGTGGGTAGCAAGCATCAGAGCACCCTGGAAGGCAGGAAAACTGGGCTTCATTCCAGCTCCAGGAGTCAGACAAACCTACATAGGACCCTGCAGTGTGCCAACTACCTGCTGGGCACCATATACATGTATGTGTGTATGTATGTGATGAATTATATCAAACATGTATGTATGTGCAGATTATATCAAATATGTGTAAAGTGCATACAGAAATAAATGTACTGCAATCCTTATTCAAGTCAAGAAATAGAGTATTACCAGCACCCACAGGGCCTCCATATGCTAACTTGCATTTTGTCATTTGTTCTGCTTCATCCCAAAAAATGTGAGGCCAACACAAGAAGGGGGCAAAGGGCATTGAAAGGTATGTTGGAACCCCAGACCCCTGTAGCCAGCACTCCTCTGCTGGGGAGGTGGCTGGCTTGATCATGTTAGAGGCCTCTTTCAAGTCTATGTCCAATGGCTTTCTCATCTACAAGATCACTCAAGTGACAGCACAGGGAGCTCCCAGTCTCAGCCCTGCTCCTCATCAGTTTTGCATTATGGATAGAGTGAATCACCCGGTAAATAATTCACCAGTAACTGGGGCAGGGAGAGTAACAGGAGACCAGGGGTAAAGGTATCCGAAGGGCTGAGGTTGGCAACCTGAGCCAGACCCCCTTGCCCCCAAGGCTGGGGAGAAGGGGGCCTGGGAGTCAGGCGGGAGCCTCAGGTGGGCAGCTGCCCAAGAGATGGGGACATGGTGGGCCAGAGGGCCAGGCACAGATCGTCCAGCCTCGTGCTGCTGATGTACCTCTGCCTCCTGCATCCGGGGGCCTCGGGTGAGTGAGACTTGGAACCCCGCACCAGGTGGCCCATCCTTTACTCACACCCCAGCTTTTCTCCCGTTTCTTCCTTGGAGAATCCTCCCTGTGCACCTGCACAGCCATTCAGGGAAGTCTCTTCACGTCACTCGTCTGCTAGAGGTTTACTAGCATACTCCGAGAGACCACGGTGCGCCCAGTGAGTGACAGCGCCGTGCGGTACGTTAAGAAGCCAGGGTGATCCCGAGGGCCATCGCCAGCTCGAAAGCTTAGCAGTGACACAATCAGATCTGGGCTGCAGGAAGTTCCCTGGTTTCGAGGGACTGAGAACGGTTGGGAGACCTTCTCAATTTTCCAGGTGGGGCCACAGCAGAGTCTGTGGGGTTGGAAATAATTGGTTTTGGTGTTAATTTTCTTCTGGAGCAATGGAACACGCGAATTTTGCCTTTGATCTCTTCCCACCAACTCCAGGAGTGTCTTCTCTCTCTGGAGCAGCTACTGGCAGAAGGAACGGCTCAGCCTGAGAGGTGGACAGGGCTCCAATCCCAGCTCCACTCCTGTGTGGTTTTGGGCAAAGGGACTTGGTTTCTCAGTCTCGTGGGACATTGTTCACGACCTCACGGGGTTGTTAGGATGAAGGCCAGTAGGTCCAGCACGGGAGGGGGCCTGCACAAAGGTGGCATTTGGGAAAGGGAAGCTGGTGTGAATCACTCATGTGTCTGGGCTGTCTTTTCAGGCGCTTATTTTCATGCAACTGTGCTGAGGCTCTCGCCACTTCCTGGTGTGCAGGTCCACTCTGGCCACTCAGAGCCAGCCAGGGAATGTGGGACCCGGGCTGAGCCTGGGTTGAGCAGAAGGAGTACCTACCTATTCGGTGACGGACTCCATGGGGACTTTAATATCTGAACCCTGAAAGATGGAGAGCAGGGATGGGACAGTGCCCTTGCCCCTGCGACCCTGCACCCTGGCACTCTGTGGCTGGCTGACAAATGAGTGAGTACTGGCTGGGCTGGTGCAGTCTGCGGCTGTTTCTTGCTGGAACGAGTCTGGAGCAACGGGGCTCTGACTCCAAAATCCTCCTGGAACCCCCATGCAGGGTCCTCCAGATCCTGAAATGCCGGTGGCCGGGTAGATCTCACTGGGCTGATGAATAGACTGACCCTGGGGCACTTGTTACAAATACAGATTTGGGGCAGGCATTTAGTCTCATGGTTAAGATACTGGTTGGGCTGGCGCCGTGGCTCACTTGGTTAATCCTCTGCCTGCGGCGCCAGCATCCCATATAGGCACTGGGTTCTAGTCCCGGTTGCTCCTCTTTCAGTCCAGCTCTCTGCTGTGGCCTGGGAGGGCAGCGGAGGATGGCCCAAGTGCTTGGGCCCTGCACCCACACGGGAGACCAGGAAGAAGAACCTGGCTCCTGGCTTTGGATTGGCGTAGCTCCAGCTGTAGTGGCCATTTGGGGGGTGAACCAATGGAAGGAAGACCTTTGTCTCTGTCTCTCTCACTGTCTAACTCTGTCAAAAAAAAAAAAAAGACACTGGTCCCATAGAGGAGTACTTGGATTCAATTCCCGGCTCTGCTCCTGATTCCAACTTCCTGCTACTGCAGACCCTGAGAAGCAGCAGGTGATGGGCCAAGTTCCTGCCACCCACGTAGGAAACATGGATCGAGCTCTTGGCTTTCACTTTGGCCTGGCCCAGACCTGGCCACTGCAGGACTGTGAACTCTCTCTCTCTCTCTGTGTCTCTCTCTCTTATCTCTCTGTATGTATGTACCTTGCAAATAATACAATTTTTAAAATTTTCAAAACACAGATTTCTAGGCCCTGATCCCTCCTCAGCGCGGGGGTGAGGAGAGGTCTCTGACTCGGCAGTTTTGGGTGAGGCCCATGAGTTTCCAAATATCCTGATGCCCCTCCAAGAGTGGGGCCTCTGCTGCCCTGGCCTCTCTTCCTGTCAGCCCCGCCTTCAGTGCCTCCAAACAGGAAACCCCACCGGCCCCCTCAGAATCTGCCTCGGCCCACCGGCTCCGGAAGGGCTTGCGCTGTCTCTGGGACCTGCCGGTGCGCCTGCACATGGGAGAACTAACAATGTTAGCAGGAAAACCCAGAGCAGCCCAGACGTTCCACGCCCCTCTCTCTGCAGGTCAGCCCCAGCCGAGCCCCGGAGCCCCTGCACAGCAGGCCGTGTCCGTCCAGGGAGTGCGGGGCAGTTCCGTGGAGCTGGCCTGTGGCCCGGGGCCTACCCCCGTGATGGTCCTCTGGAGCTTCACCCCGCTGGGCTCCCCGGTCCCCCAGCCTGTGGCTCTCACCAACGGAGTGGTGTCCAAGGTGGAGGCTGCAGCCTCGGCTCTGGGCTCCGTGAGCCTGAGGAACGGCAGCCTCGTGCTGGAGGAGCTCCAGGAGGGTGCCCGCGGCCACTTCCTGTGCCAGGCCCTGCACACAGCGGACGGCCAGCTCCACGCCGCCTACTCCTACCTCTCGCTGGCGGTGCTGGGTGAGGCGCCCACTCAGGATGGCAGCCGGGCTGCAGCTGCTCTGTGTCCGGCTATGTCTGCTTCTCTCTGCATGTGCTGCTTCCCACTCTCTCTGCATGTGCCGGGCTGGGTCCTAAGGAGTGGCCCCCACCCAGGGAGTGAGGAGACCTGGGATTGGGAGGAAGGGCTGTTCGGGCAGGGTGGGCAGACAAGCCCCCAGCCACTATGGCCTGCGTCTGCACTGGCAAACCTAGGTTCTCTCCCTCCCTGGCAGTGCCTGTCTCCAAGCCTCAGGTGCGGCTAAGTGACCCATCCCCAGTGGAGGGCACCTCCGTGGTGGCCACCTGTGCAGTGCGGGAGGGGACAGGGCCTGTGACCTTCACCTGGCAACATCAGGCACCCCGAGGCCCTGGGAAGGTCCTGGTGGAAGTCGTGGAGCCACTTCTCCGGCTGGACCCCGTCAACCGGACACACCTGGGCTGGTTCGTGTGCAGCGCCCACAACACAGTCAACAGGCTGAGCAGTCCTGGAGCCTTCCTGGATGTCATCTGTGAGTAAGCTGGGAGGCATCGGGGCAGACACCCAACTCCCCAGCCCTCCAAGACGACAGACACAGGGTGCCGTACCCATTGGTGTCAAACAAGTCTAGTATCAGAGTTTTTTATTCCCTTTAAGGTCAAGAGCCCATTCTTCCAGGGAAATGTGCGTACATTATTATTCATGATTTTACTCATGGTCTTGAGGTGATTCAGAAAGCCTCCCCCTTGGGTTGAGTCTCGAGGCTCTAAGTGACCAACTGAACCCCAGGGGATAGAGACAGGGATCCCACTGGGAAAAGAGGACAGCAAATTCATTCAAAGGCTGAAGCTGAGAGCCAGAGCTAGAAATCAGGAGCCCTGGGGAGGAGATGGAGATTGGAATAGCTCAAGTTTGTTGTCCAAAATCGTAGCCACTCACAGGTCTTCAGGCACTTGATATGTGGCTAATCCAAATTGAGATGAGCACACTTACTTTTTTTTTAAAGCTTTTATTTAATGAATGCATTTTTCATAGGTACGGCTTTAGGAATATAGTGGTTCTTCCCCCCATACCTACCCTCCCACCCCCACTCCCGTCCTACCTCCTACTCTCTCTCCCATCCCATTCTTCATTATGGTCCATTTTTAGTTTAACTTTATATACAGAGGACCAACTCTATGCTAAGTAAAGATTTCAACAGTTTGCGTACACACACACACACACAGCATATGAAGTACAGTTTGAGAACAAGTTTTGCAGTCAATTCTCATAGTACAACTCATTAAGGACGGAGATCCTACATGGGGAGTAAGAGCACAGTGACTTCTGTTCATTTAACAATTAACACTCTTATTTATGATGTCAGTGATCACCCGAGGCTCTTGCCATGAGCTGCCAAGGCTATGGAAGCCTTTTGTGACCACAGACTCCATCGGTATTTGGACAAAGCTATAAGCAAAGTGGAAGCTCTCTCCTCCCTTCAGAGAAAAGTACATCCTTCTTTGATGACCACTTCTTTTTTTTTATCTTTTATTTAATGAATATAAATTTCCAAAGTACAACTTATGGATTACAATGGCTTCCCCCCCCATACTGTCCCTCCCACCCACAACCCTCCCCTTTCCCACTCCCTCTCCCCTTCCATTCACATCAAGATTCATTTTCGATTATCTTAATATACAGAAGATCAGCTTAGTATACATTAAGTAAGGATTTCAACAGTTTGCTCCCACACAGAAACATAAAGTGAAAAATAATAGATGATTTTTTTTAAATGATGATGAAATCAGATCAGACCTATTGTCATGTTTAATCCCAGTGAGAGTCAAGTTGGGAATTGATAATTTCTTTTTTTTTTTTTTTACAGAAGATCAGTTTAGTATACATTAAGTAAAGATTTCAACTGTTTGCACCCACATAGAAACACAGAGTGAAATATACTGTTTGAGTACTCGTTATAGCATTAAATCTCAATGTACAGCACATTTAGGACAGAGATCCTACATGAGGAGTAAGTGCACAGTGACTCCTGTTGTTGACTTTACAAATTGACACTCCTGTTTATGGCATCAGTAATCTCCCTATGCACCAGTCATGAGTTTCCAAGGCTATGGAAGCCCCTTGAGTTCTCCGACTCTTATCTTGTTTAGACAAGGTCATAGTCAAAGTGGAGGTTCTCTCCTCCCTTCAGAGAAAGGTACCTCCTTCTTTGAAGACCTGTTCTTTCCACTGGGATCTCACTCACAGAGATCTTTTTGCCAGAGTGTCTTGGCTTTCCATGCCTGAAATACTCTCATGGGCTTTTCAGCCAGATCCGAGTGCCTTTAGGGCTGATTCTGAGGCCAGAGTGCTATTTAGGACATCCGCCATTCTATGAGTGATGACCACTTCTTTCCAGGGGGGTCTCACTCACAGAGATCCTTTGCAGCACATTTACTTTGAGGACTCAGTCTGAAAAACCAACGGCAAAGGAAGACCTTTCTCTCTGTCTCTCTCTCTCTCACTGTCCACTCTGTCAAAAAAAAAAAAAAAAAAGAATGTAAAATAGCTCATCACTAACATTAATGTTGGTTATCTATTGAAATAATAATATCCTGAAAACATGGTTGATCAAATAAAATCTACAGTAGTGCCCCCCTTTTCAACAGGGAGTATGTCCCAGGACCCACCCCAGTGGATGCCTGAAACCATGAATTGTACTAAACTCTAGTCTTCTTTTTCCTAGATTTCCTACCTATGGTAGAGCTTAATCTATAAGCCATGCACATTAGAAATGAACAGCAATGACATTGAGGCCATTATTAAGCTAAATCAGGGTTACTTGAACACAAGCATTGCAATACTTTGACAGTTGATCTGATAACACAGATGGCTACTAAGTGACTGATGGGCAGGTGGCACACACAGCACGGATCCACTGCACAAAGCAGTAAGTCACACAGGGAACTGCCGTGAGATTTCTTCCCACTACTCAGAACAGCATGCAATTTAGATCTATGAACTGTTTATTTTAGATATTTTCCATTTAATGATTTTGGACCTCAGTTGACTGTTGATAACTGAAATGGTAGAAAGCTTTGTTTATGACATATTCTCTCCCCCACCCCCCACCTTCCCTCTCTCTTTCTTTCTCCTTTCACTTCCTTCCTTCTTTTTTGCTTCATTGGGTTTGGTCATTTTTACTTTTTAGGATTTAGCTACATGTGGCCCATATCCATCACTTCTCCAGAGGTCTTAGGGAGAAAGGACTCGTGGTGCCCTGTCTTATCTCCACAGTGGTAGCTTGTGGGAATTGTAAACTGAGAACTGGGGAGGAGCCCACTGAGCAGGAGTTCTTGGCAAAGAGGCAGAAGGCAGGCAGGGAATCCAGTCCCGTCTGGTGCTCTGGGAGTGCTTCAGAGGTGGGGACACTGAGCTTGGAACACAAGGCAGGGCTTGGTCGGGACCCAGGGAAGTACCAGGGGATGGCTGCTGGCTGATACCCAAGATGCTTCTTCCATCTGTGGTCTAAGGTGGCTCATCGTCCCAGTTCCAGGCTCAACTGAAAGAAGCGATAGGGAGACCACCTCTCTCCATAAACTCTCGGGCAATCCCTACCTCAGCCCAAGCCAGCAATCCCTCAGGGAAGCCCTGAGTCACAGCTCACCTCCATGGAATGTCCACCTCCCTGGGCCCTGACCACGCTGCCCTGCACTGTGCCTGTGGCCCCTGCACTGAGTGCCCAGTGTGCCACATGCTCGTGAGATGGAAGAGTGAGTCAGAGATGATCATACAAGTGAGGGAAGGAAAGAGGGCGGGAGGTGTGATGGGCCTTGCCTTGCCTTCCAGATGGTCCGGACAAGCCCGTGATCACCGTGGAACCCCTGGGACTCACTGAGGAAGGATTTTGGGCCAGTGAGAGGGAGGAGGTGACCCTGAGCTGCCTGGCCGCATCCAACCCTCCCAGTCGTTATGTGTGGCTCCGTGAAGACACTCAGGTCCACAGTGGGCCCACATACGTCATTGCCACTGCCAGCCGCACCCACACAGGCCTATACACCTGCCTGGCCCACAACAGCCACCTGGACACCCGCACCCAGACCACTGTCCAGCTCACCGTCTACTGTGAGTGTGTGGGTGGGGAACCGCCATGGCGCTCTGCTCTGGCAGACCCCACCAGACGGGGAAGAGTGGAGGGGGAGTTGGGCTGGGGGCCCCTGGAGACTCCAGCGGAGCTGCTGGGCACAGGGAGACACGAGGCAAGGCAAAGAGAGAGGGAAGCCTCTGACCCTCCCAGCCCCTCCCGCCGCGATTCTTCCCATGGCCCTGGGGACTGAACTGAGGCATAGAGGAGGGTGGAGGGATGGCCGTGAGGCTAGGTGACCAGGGGCAAAGGAGAGACAGAGATAGGGGGCTCTGGGATTCTTTGAGAATGCCAAACTCTTGCCCACCCCTAAATCCCTGCCCCTTAATCTGACAGCTTAGCCCGTTCCTCCCCAGCTCCTCAGAGGGACTCCCTCCCCCCACCCTACTCTCACCGTCCACTCGTCCTTCCTTTCCTACGCTTTGACATCCGAGGCCTCCAGGATCCCACCTGGGGGCAGGGATGAAGGGTCCTGGGTGTGGAGCCTGCCCCAGCCCTCCTCACACACTTTCCTACCCAGATCCCCCAGAGGGGCAGCCCTCCTGTGCCGTGCTCCCCTCCCCCAGGGCTGTGACTTTGCCCTGCACCTGGCCTGGAGGGTTTCCGCCGGCCCAGCTGCAGTGGGAAGGGCCCCAGGGGACTGGTCCGACTGCCCCCAGCAACGTCACCTGGAGTCATGCAACTGCCCAGCTCCCCAACGGTAGCGTCTTCACCTGCACCGGTCAGCACCCAGCCCTGGCATTGCCGGCCGTCTGCAGGATCACGCTCTGTGAGTGCTCACACACAATGGCCAGAGAGTGTGTCAGGGTCAGGGGAGAGCCAGAGGGGCTTGGGGTGGAAGTCTAGACCACAGGCTCTAAGATATGTCAAGTAGCAAAGAGGTGGGCGGCACCCAGCTCTTGGCTCCTACCTCCCAGCTTCTCCATCCACACTACACTTTCCTGCTCAGCTTGCGCTCGGAGCCCTGGCACACCTCACTGTCCCCCAACCTCTATGATCAGCCGGCTCCATCAACCAGACACTCTGCTCCTCCTGCACATGTTGGTGTGAAATGTGCCTTCAGCATTCTCTCTGCCAAGTGTGCCCTGCCTGCTCTCTGCCCGGGAAACTCTCACCAGTCAACCAGGAGAGAGCTTAAATATCGTCATCTCTGCAGTGACCTCTTCCCTAATGCCCCCAGAGTCCGTCTTTCTATCTATGTTCTAGCTCTCATCAAACTATATAGCAATTGGTTGCTTGGCGTGTGTTCCAGGCACAAGGTCAGCCTCCCATGAATGATGAAAGAGTGAATAGAGGAGTGACAGTGATGGAGGAATGAGTGACTCAAGGAATCAGTGAGGGAAGGAGTGGGGTGAGTGGGCTTGGCAAGCCTTCCCCCTCCCCTAGGGCTGTGCTGAGCCATCGACCCTTTCCAGGGGAACCTCTCTGGAGCCCCACCTGCTGGACCACGGCCTCTCTGGGAGACCAGTTGATCATGCTGAGCTGCAGGTGGCCTGGAGGTGAGCCCCCTGCCGTGCTGGGCTGGCTTGACGGACAACAGCGGCCTCTGGGCAGCAACAGCTCTTCGCTGGCCATCCACCTTCTGCAGGCCCAGGACAATCTAGCCGGCAGGGAGTTCACCTGCCGGGGCACTCACCCACTCAGGAGCCCGGACCCCTACTGCCAGCTCCAGCTGGGTGAGTGGCTGGTTGCTGGGGGCTGGGGCTGCAGGTGAGGCAGCCCTGTGGAGCCAGGATGAGGGGCTCTGGAGGATAGCAGGGCTGGAATGGAAGCTGAGCGAGACAGGGGAGAGACTGATTCTTTGCCTCCTAGCAACTCAAGTTATTTTGATCCATAAACTGGGAGGGTTTGGTCTAGGTCAGTGTTGTGTAATGAAAACCCACCACAGGCCAAGATTTAGAAGAAACACGTGAAACATTTTAACCTAACATACCCAGTATGCTGTTATTCTCAATATGTAAAAATTAAAAATTATTAATGAGATAAATTATCTAACATTCTTATTTTTATCCTGTCTTCCAAAACTTGGTGTTTTTATTTACCACACATTTCAACACAGACCGGCCACATACCAAGTCGCATGTGCCTGGAGGCTGTGGTGTTGGGCAGTACTGGTATTGGTTTAGATGGTGTGGGATGCTGATTAGGTTCCTCATTTACATCAATTTGCATAAGGGAGGGGCCTGATTGTGTGCATGACTTGTGGTGATATTTCACACGTCAGATTTCTACCTCTCTCCTATTTGTTTTTGGTCCGCTTCCTCTTATATTTTCATTTGGTCTTGTCAGTCTATTTACTGACAACTCAAGGAACAGGAGTGAAATATTGTAGTAAAATATGTGAGAGAAGCAAATGGAGACGTCATCTCATACGACAGCTCTCACAAATGCTTTATCCCTGGCTCTGCCAAGGTTGTGACCAGCACGATTTCAGGGCCCGAAGGAGGTCCTCAAGCCAATGTATTTCTTTCCCTATTACTCAGACTTAGGAACGGAAATTCCATGGTAGGAGATTCATTGACACCTGAGAGTCTGGCTCTTTAATAAGAATCCATAAAACTCGAGCACCTGCTACAGACCCAGCACTGTGCCCCAAGCCTGCAGGAGGTGGCGCGGGCCATTAGGGGGAAGGAGGCCCATGCCAGGTGTTGGGAGTGGGCATGATTCATGCAGAGATGAGTAAGGCAAGGCCCCTGCGTGCAGGAGTGAGGCTGGTGGGGGCAGCAGGGACCCTGGAAGAACACCGTTGGCATCGGCAAACCCTGGAGCGGACTGACAGGAGCACAGAATGGGAGCTTGGACAAGCAGGCAGATTAATCAACAGCCCCCTGTCTCCCCTCCCCTCTGGGTGCTGTGCCGTCCCCCACCAGCCAGAGACAGCACTTGTTCCAGCCTCCCCCTCTCTGTCCCTGCAGAAGCCCCACAGCTGGCAGTGGCTGAGCCCCGCGTGTCTGTGTTGGAGGGGGGAGAGGCCATGCTGGCCTGTGTCCTGCAGCATGGCACACCACCCGCCCAGCTCCTCTGGCTGGGACCCCAGCTGCGGCAGGTGGAACAGGGCACGTCTGGATTCACACTATACCCTGAGGGTGCCTGGCTGCGCCTCCACATCCAAGATGCTGACCCAGCACGCCACAAGGGGACCTACCAATGTGTGGCCAGCAACGCTGTGGGCAGCCACCATCGCAGCGTGCAGCTGGAGGTCCTGAGTGAGTGAGGGGCGGGGTGGGGTGGGGGGCAGCAGGGCTGGGAGGTCAGAGAAGCTCTTTCTTGGCTGTCAGCCTTCTTCCAGAAAAGGCTCAGGAACTCCCTGCTCCAAAATGTGAACCCTTGAGCTCCCCGGGACATAGGCAGGCCCCGGCTCTGTGAGGCTGACTCTGATGCACTCTTGGAAACAAGCACACAGGCCGGCGCCGCGGCTCACTAGGCTAATCCTCTGCCTTGCGGCGCCGGCACACCGGGTTCTAGTCCCGGTTGGGGCACCGGATTCTGTCCCGGTTGCCCCTCTTCCAGGCCAGCTCTCTGCTGTGGCCAGGGAGTCCAGTGGAGGATGGCCCAAGTCCTTGGGCCCTGCACCCCATGGGAGACCAGGAGAAGCACCTGGCTCTTGCCATCGGATCAGCGCGGTGCACCGGCCGCAGCGCGCCAGCCGAGGCAGCCATTGGAGGGTGAACCAACAGCAAAAGGAAGACCTTTCTCCCTTTCTCTCTGTCTCTCTCTCTCACTGTCCACTCTGCCTGTCAAAAAAAAAAACAGGTACACAAAATGCAGTTCCATCCAACAATCTTCTTCTTCTTTTTAAGTTTTATTTTATTTATTTGAAAGCGTTACAGACAGAGGTAGAGACAGAGAGAGAGGTCTTCCATCAGCTGGTTCACTCCCCAGAAGGCCCCAATGGCCAGAGCTGTGCCGATCCGAAGCCAGGAGCCAGGAGCTTCTTCCAAGTCTCCCATGCTGGTGCAGGGGCCCAAGGACTTGGGCCATCTTCTACTGCTTTCCCAGACCATAGCAGAGAGCTGGATCGGAAGAGGAGCAGCCGGGACTTAAACCAGCGCCCATATGGGATGCCGGCACTGCAGGCCAGGGCTTTAACCCGCTGCACCACAGAGCCGGCCACCCGACAATCTTCTTTTCTTCACTTCATAGATGAGGAAACAGAGCAGCCAGACCCGCCTAGGTCTACAAACCCTCATCTGCTCACAGCAGTGCTCTCCCCCCAGGCCCCAGCCAGGGTGTACAACCGCGAGGGCTGAAGGCACACATGCACTTACTGTGCGTGTCCCCATGGTCTCCCCAGGATATCCAGCTCCTCCCAACGTCACCATCAGCCGCCTGACCTACGCACGGCACCGCAGAGAGGTGCAGCTGCAGTGGGTGCTGGAGGGCTCCGGGAACCTGACGGGCTTCCTGGTGCAGCGGAGGGCCAGCATCCCCGGCACTGCCGCCTGGGAGACGGCAGCCAGCGACATCGAGCCTGAGAGCAGGGGCCGGCGGCTGGGAGGCTTGGACCCCGGAGTCCTCTATGCCTTCCGCATCCTGGCTCTGAACCACCGCACGGCTGGGCTGCCCTCCCCGGTGAAGACACCAGGTGCTGGTGCTGGCACCAGGGAGGGACCGGCCTTGCTCCAGAGAACTGAGCCTTGGTTCTCCCTCCTCCTCCTCCCTCTCTCCCCTCCTCCCCTTCCTCCCGCTCTTCCTTCTCTCCCCCCTTGTCCCCCCTCCCCCCAGTCCTCTCCTCTCCCCCTGGATCAGAAGAAATAGGGAAGGAGGGGAGATGGGGTGCTGGTGGCCAAACAAGAGCAGCAGCCCCACTCTGTGCCTCAGTCTCACTTCCTGGGGTGCAGGTGGGCTCCCAGGGGCTCACCTCGCCACCCTGGGGATTCCTTACTTTATGGGGCACTTCCCTTCTGCCCCAACCTGCCAAGATGTCTAACCTCCTGCCTTCGGGGCTGGAAGTAGTGGATTTGGCTGGGGACACCAACCATCAGGAAGCCAGAGCAGCCCCTTCTTAGGGGGAGACATGACCTCCAGACTCTGGGCCCCAACAGGAGCTACAGAGGGAATGGCTGAGCAGGGCACCGCCTCCCACTGCCCGAGCTCATTGGCAGCTCTGACCCAAGATTCCACACTCCCCCTCCCAGCGGACCCCCCCTTCAGCGCCTATCCTGCCGTGCTGGCTGCAGCAGGCACAGGAGTGGTGGTGGCAACCGTGGCCTGTCTACTGCTGTTCCAGTACGCTGCCCGGCACCCAGAGACTTTCCCCTGTGAGTGGGAATCTGCAGGGAGGGGCCCGTAGCTCCACAGGGGGGCTGGGTGGAGACCTATCCAAAGAATCCAGGCTCTTCCTTAATCATGACTGCCTCCCCAGGGTCGGATGCTGTCCTCTGGGTCCCCAATCCTCAACCTTGGGCATCTGGGGCCATCCTTTCGGGACTCCTGAGATGGAGTCCAGAGCCCATCAGGAAGCGGGGTGTGTGTGTGTGTGTGTGTGTGTGTGTGTGTGTCTTTCTCCTAGGATCCACACAGGTTGGTGGAGTAACTGCACCCTTTTTATTCCAACAGGCCTTGGTCAGTGGCTTGCTCCCATGTGAGTGTGTAACCATCATTCTGGGGTCAGGACTTTGCTTTAATTGGGAAGGAAGGCTCCGGAAGTGCAGGTGCTACTCACTTTACTCTCCCACTTCATCCTCAGGGAGCAAAGAGGCCCGCAGAGAGGCTCAAGGGGAGGCACCGAGGCACGGGCAGGTAAGCAGGATTTCACCCCGAAGGTGACTCGGGTACAGGGAGCCCAGGGCTGGGTTCCATACATGATGCTCCGTGTCTCCTGTCCTCAGAGAACAATCTGGGGTATCCCCATGGCACCTCTCTCTTCTCGGCCCATACTGTAGGCACTGAAGCAGCAGCCACCACCCCAAGTTCAGATCCTGCACAAGAATCCACCGAGGCACCCGTCAATGTCACCATCACGGTGACAGCAACACCATGAGGCCCACCGAGGAAGGTGCACACAGGCTCAGCGAGGGCAGATGGGAGGCGGAGAGATCCCTTCTGTCAGACTTGGGTCTTAAAACCACAGTGTCTAAGACATCAACCACCCCTTCTTCCCTTAATACCCGGGCTTTACAAGTACTGCGCAGTCCAGCTGCCCTTAAATGGCTAGGTTGCAAGAGAAGCCCCGGCCCGTGTAGAAGGCAGAGCTGGCGGAAGGAGGCAGACACACACCTGGAGCAAATCTCGCCGGGTGTGTGAGGTCAAGGGAAAATGACAGGACTGGCAGCCGTCTCTGGTGCCACGGACGGTGACAGCCAGCTGCTGCCAAGAAGGACTGTGGGTAGGGCGATTCCTAAATAAATCATGCCTGCTGTTCGCACTGGCACAGGGCTCTCTGAATCGCGGCTTGCACGGGTGGACTGTGGGGTCCCAGGACGTGCACGTGGGAAGCGGGGACGTGTGGCAGGCTGTTTCCTGCATTCAGCTGCAGCTTAGCAAGCTCCCGGACTCCAGAGGCCTGGGCCGGCAGTTCCCAGAGCACGGGGATTACGGCGCAGCCGCCCTGCCTGCCTCCAGGCCTGGGGCAGCTGGCTGTGGCGGACCAGGGCTGCTCCAAAGTCACACTCTCATCGCTGCCAGCGTGACTCACTGGCTCCAAGCATGTGCGTGCGCCTGAAATCTGGGGGAAGCACAAACAAAGCCTTGTTCAGCTGACTGCGGAGTCAGGCCTGGGAGCGGCCTCCACAGGGGACATAGATGAGACAGAACGGCGAGGGGGCCAAGGCAGCATCTGCCAGCAGCAAGGGAAAGGCGCGCCTGGAAGGGGGCGGAAAACCGAGACACTGGAGGAGCCGCTTAGGTTCTCACAGATTCAGACTTTATTAGAAAACGGGACTTAGCGTCCCTCCAGGCCCTCAGGACTGTGGCCAAGGTTTCAGGCAAAGTTTTAGTAAGATACGGGCAATCGAATCCAAGAGGCTGGCTGTTGGCCGCCTGGTAAGAGAAACCTGGAGGCTTCGGTGTGTTATTTGTGCTTTTTGAGGACAAACAAAGCTGCTTCTTTTAAGAAGGTTGGATTTCTCCCCTGGAATTCAGAGATGTTATCGTAGACTAGCGGTAAAAATAGAGGAATTCTGAGAAAATACCCAGCCTCCTTCTCCTGCTTCTCTCAACTCCACTCCTCTCTTCCTTCCAAAGAAATGCTAAGCTCCCCATGGGGACCCATATGGAGATACCTTCCCAGCCTCCCTATCAAATGCTTGCCCAAGGTCCTGCTCCTTCATAGCTTTATCTCTGCAGTCAGAACAGCAAGGCTTAACCCCTGGGCTCTTGGGTGTACACTGGAGACCTTCACAACAGGGGTGGAGGGTCGGAAGAGTTTCAAAGTAAGACACCCCCCACCCCCACCCAATCACAAACTCAGCAGGTTTTGTACAAACAGGGAGTATCTGACGATCCCATCTTACAGGGCTACTCTACATGAAAGCAGCATTCTCTCTTTTAATATAAAATTGTATCAACCAAGTAAAACCTGTCAAAGCTACATCATTTAAAATATGTACAGTTTCAAACATAATATTACAGCTTTAAGGAAAATTAAACATACTTTTCACGACGATACAAAACATGCAATTCAAAGTCACTGCTTTAAAAGACAGCAACACAGGTAAAATCCAATCCTAAACTTAGCTTCTTGGCAGTGCTGTTAGCTGGAATGAGATCTGTGTTACGCTGGGCCCAGGACGGACACATTGGTCTTCATGGACACATTTGACAAAAACGAGCAAGATAAGCTTTTTGCAAAGACCACTTTAAAAGGTATAGGACATTGCAATGCAACTTGTACCCTGTACAGCACCTATCAGACTTACCAGTGCATAACTGAAAGGAGACAAGGAAGAGTGAACTGGTGTGAGCAGAGTGGGGTAAGTCTGATGTTTAACAAAATCACAGAGTTCTAGGGTGAAAAGGAACACGAAGAAGCCGGACCGGTTTCATGCTGAGTTGAATGAAGATCCAATTCCTGGGCAGGGGTTGGGGTGAGGGGGTGGGATGGGGAGAATCATGGACTTCCGGAAGCCCAGGGCACCCTGCCCATGCAGGACAGGGAGCAGCTGCTCTGGCTGTAGTTAGGGCCTCAGGGGATAACGCAGCAGGAGCAGACAACAGCAAGGGGATGTGAACCACAGTGCTTTCTGGAAAGCACTATGGAAAAACAGGAGGAGCACAGATTATGGCTCCAGATAAACTGGGCTCAAGTTCAGGCTCAGTGGCTCACTATGAGACTTGGGGATTTTAAGGCCTAAGATGTGTTGTCGGGGTTAAATGAGATAACAGCAACTGGCCCCAAGCGCAGTGCCTGGTACATAGCAGCCACTCAGCCCATGTTAGTGCTTTCTCCCACGCTGTACTCTGACCTCTCATTTCCTCAAGAAGTGACATTAGGTAGGACTGTTTCTAGTGACTGTGCAGGGTATAAAAGTTCAGAGCAACTCACACTAAGGGAGAACTCGTAACTCCTAAACATAAACACAATTTTATATATATAATATTTATATTTATATATCTCAATATATAAAGGCATTTTTATAAATAAAATACAATAAAAGGGATAACACTTAAAACAGCGTTACTAATAATATAAATAAAGCAGTCCACAATGAGATTGCCCTAAAGGTAAAGTCATTTTCTATTCCTTGTGGACAAGTCCCAGGATCAAACTCAAATCTTTAAGAGCAGTTTATGACCTAAGGCTCATGCTAATTCACCTGTTTCCTGAATCAAAATGACTGCCTACAGACACTTCCCAGATTTCTAAAACTCCCTTGACGACAGCACTGCTGTAACTCGAATGGCAAACACAGGCTATGTTTCATGATCTGTGTACTACTGGGAGTTTGTCCTTTGATAGTCACAGAACCACGGGATGCAGCTCTCTCCCTCCACAGCTAACTGCATGTAAAGGACATGAAGAGCACACGTAGGACACTATAGGCACGGCCACCTGGAATGTAGAACCTGCTTCGGTAGCGTCCCTAATTCCCGACTAGGAAATGACATTCACTACAGTCTTCTGGGAAACAGCTCTTGCAGAGTGACCCAGCTTAAACAGCACGTCTTCACTCAGAGTTCTATTTATAAAACATACAGACATACGTAAGGGAATACTGATGTATTCAGATAGAAAGCTGATTAACATAGTATTCTATTCCACTGCAACTTTCTGGGAAACTGTAAAATTGTTACACTGAGGCTGGAACTGCTTGTTCTACATCAAGAGAATAATTTTTTCTTTCTTTCCCCAATGGATGCACGATCCAAAAAGGCACAGTGTGCCGCTAAAGCTTGACTGGAGCTTTGGAACACACTTGGAGCGTTTTGCGGTGGTTTTTAGTGTGGAGAAGAAAAGCCTTCCAAAGGCGGCTGCAACGTCCTGTCACTCAGAGCAGTGGTAACTGTGATGTACTGAGTTTGCTGATCACAGCTTTAGGTGCCTGTTTATAATGATTATATTCTTAAAAAAAAAAAAAAAAAGCTGCAGGAAATGAAAAAAAAAAAGTCTTTTCTAAGTCTTTTCTGACACTCATCTTCTGGGCTGTCTTGCCCACACTGGAAGTGAGAAAATGACTGTTCTCAGGTGTGTGACGCTGTGAGCCGCTCCAGGCTGATGGCGGAGCTTCCGCCAGGTGGGTCCCTGGAGCCCTTCCCTTTCTTCCGGCCACTGCTGTACAGTCTTACTTTGTTCCTACTTCTAGAAACAATCAAAAAGAGTCCCATGAGGACCATTTTGTAAATTTAATTTTAAAGCAGTGGGTTATTAGGGCGTTATTTTTCTTTCTGGCCCTGGTTCCCTTTCTGCATACTGCAACGCTCCAGGGAGACCACGCACAACACTGCGTACGACCACTGCCTAGAAGGCTCATCACTACCTGTGCCCGTGAGCACACAGAAAGTCAACAGGCCAGGTGGTCACTAGTGAAAGGCACTTTTAGAAAACTCATCAGCCAGACCTGCTACGATAAACATGAGGTCACAACTGTGGTGGATTTCAAAATCTGCTCTCACAATACTGACAGGCAGCTGTCCATCTGCAAACCTGACTCCACAGCCTGTGCAACCCTGCCCTCACAGGACCAGCCGGCAGCCCGCATCCCAACCCGGAGGAGCTCCCGTGGTCACTGAGGCTGCTGGAAAACGTGGAATGCTCTCCGGATGGCTGAGAACTACGCAAACAAGGGGGAGGAGGGGACGGGCAAGGAAAGTTTGAAGGCATAAATAATATAAAAGGGCACACATTTTAAGATACATTCATATGACATTACTACTACAAAGAAAAAATAAATAACGATTTTCTCTGATTGGAATTCACGCCCTTCCTGCAGCTCATCCCCAGGCCTGGTGTGTGCAGTCACTGTCCGGAAGCAGGAGCGTTACTAGCCGTCCGCACAGCCGTAGGTTCCCTGGGGTTGCGGAAGGACTCCGGACGCGCTGGCCAGAGGGATGCCAGGGCAGGGCCATGCTGTGTTTTCCGTGCTGTCCTCTGAGACAGGCGGCAGAGCAAGAGGATTCCAACTTAGAATTTTGTTCTCTGTTTCTGAATGGACACAGCTGTCTCCTGAAAAAGAGAAAAGTTTGGGAGCGTTATGAGAGGATAAAGGCTGTTTTTAAAAACACTACTTTAGGCAATGAAGAAAATGTAATAAGCCAACGTAGAGCCTAATCGTGCTTGTTTTGAATTTGAGGGAGACAGTGGGTTTAAAGGGTTTAAAACAAGTTGCATTTTCATGAATAGTTATACAGTTCATCTGGGATGAAACCAAACCCCTTAAAAGTCCCAAAATAAGCACCAGAAAGAAAGGCTACAACTCCAGAAACAACGCTAAGACCAATGTTTGCAATGCATTCTTCCAGCAAGTCATCTGTGCAGGTGCAAACTGAATCAGAGCCTATCGGACATGGCCCCCAACCTGTGATTAGATTAACAGCCCGAGACGAAGGATATAAGTAAAGAAAGAATTCCAAAGAGTGCTTCTGTCTAGTCCAATCTTCCCGTGAAGTACCCTCCCAGCTCTTAAGACAGCTATGAGCTGGGGCTGGCACCGTGGCACAGTAAGCTAAGCCGACACCTATAATGCCGGCATCCCGTATCAGAGCACCAGTTCAAGTCCTGGTTGCTGTGCTCCCAACACAGCCCCCTGCTCATGTGCCTGAGGAAACAGCAGAGGATGGCCTGAGTCTCTGCCACTCACGTAGGAGATTAAGATGGAACTCCAGGCTCCTGGCTTCAGCCTGGCCCAGCCCTGGCCATTGCAGCCATCTGGGAAGTGAACCGGAGGATAGGTCTCTGTCTCCTGCTCCCTCTATCACTCTGCCTTTCGAATAAATAAATACATCTTGAAAAGAAAAGAAAGATCTGCGCTTATCATACACCACCTTCCCTTACACACTTTTTAGCTCACTGCAGACTCTCTGGAAGCTCAAGGTTTCCAACGCTCCCCACACCTCTAGTGAACTCTGCTGTATCTTCTGTGCAATCCGAGTTGATGTCACGTGTGTTGTCCTGACAGCAGGTGTGCAGAGCAGGCGTCGGTGCCACGCTGTCCTTGCTGCTTCCCTCAGGTAACTGGCCGCAGTCAGGGAGGGTGGCAGCCAGGCACACAGACATCTTCATGTGATTGAGGGGCTTCATCTCCAACCCATCCTGGGGGTAAGGTGCTGCCACGGGGACCACGGGAAGGGAGCTGCTGTTGAAAGTGCTGTTGGTTTTGGTGAAACACCTGCAGGGTTTAAACCACAAGAAACACATCTGTCTACAGGGATCAATACAGTAAGCTTATATGTGAAATATCACTTGGTATTCTCTATTGACAAATTCAAAGATTGATGCTTAAACATTACCAAATGATTCACTATGATTTCAGTGTCAAGAACCCAAAAATTTTAAGGTGGAATACAATAAGAAAATGCATCAAAAGGCCAATCACTTATGAACAGAACCCCTGAAGATGACCTATCTTACGTGCTTCCTTTGTCTTAAAGCTGTCAGAAGCCATTGGTTCTGTTGTCAGAAGCCGCTAACCATTTCATTATTAACTGGCTTTCAAACACAGCACACAAAAGGCACTGGCCACTGCCAAGTATTAGAAAAAGAGGAAGAAGTGGGCAGAAAGTAAGAAACTCATGGCCACATGAGAGAAAAAGACCTCATGAGAATCAATACAAACACACTGCTTGGAAATCAAATGGTTTCTTTTTATCTCCCTGGAGGAAACAACAAGGATTAGATATTTGAAATTCAAGATTTAAAATGTTTTCCAGTATTATTCACTGCATTATTGTTAGAATTTATTAGCCCTGAGTATTTTACTTCCTTCCTGCTCAGTGTTTATTCCTGCCTTCAACTAAGATGTGTGGTTTTTTTAAACACTTTTTTAAAAGATTTATTTATTTACTTGAAAGTCAGAGTTACACAGAGAGAGAAGGAAAGGCAGAGAGAGGAGAGAGAGGTCTTCCATCAGCTGGTTCACTCCCCAGTTGGCTGTGATGGTCGGAGCTGTGCCAATCCGAAGCCAGGAGCCAGGAGCTTCTTCCAGGTCTCCCACGCGGTGCAGGGGCCTAAGAACTTGGGCCATCTTCCACTGCTTTCCCAGGCCATAGCAGAGAGCTGGATCGGAAGTAGAGCAGCCGGGATTCAAACTGGCGCCCATATGACATGCTGGCACTAAAGGTGGTGGCCTTACGGGCTACGCCACAGCACCGGCCCCAACATTTTTTCTTTCTGTTCTTCACAATGGATATTTTCATTTGATTTATCATTTAGTTCACTGGCTCCCTCATCTGTGGTCTCCAATCCACTGTTAAGCACATCCAGAAAACCTCCCATTCCAGTTACTGTACAATTTTCAGCTCCGTAATTTCCTTTTATTCTTCTTTTTTTAAAAATATGTTTCTCAGTTTGAATTCCCCCATGTTCATTTATTATATAAATATCTTCCTTTTAAGTTCTTGAACAATTTATAACAGCTACATAACTGTCCGCTAATTGTGACATTTGGGTCAACTCAGGGTCTGTTTCTATTGACTTTTTCTTCCTTTGAGAATCACAATTTTCTGTTTCTTTGCATTATTTAACTGGTATTTTCCCTGTAATTTTCAGTTTGTTCTGCTGGTATCAAACTCAGTGCTCTGACACCATCTGAGCCTTTGCCTCCAGAATGGAGAATGTCCTCAGGCCAAACTCCACAAACTCCCTGTTGCTTCTCAAGCTTAGATTCTTGTTCAGCACCTGCCTATTTGCAGTTACTCTCCAACATTTTCAAATTGCCAAATTATCATTATTTTCTGTTGATGATCAAGCTGCTCCACCACTACAAGAAGGCGTTATTTCTAAAGCTGGTAGTAAGAAAAGCTTGAAGAGGACATCACATTCAGCTTCGCAAGTTAGGTAGGAAACACATACGACTGATCGGTAGAATGCTGGAGCCGGGTAACGTTAGGAAATAAAGACAAGAATTCTTTGGATTTCCACACTTCAAACACGGAGTGCTAAGTTTTTTGGGGGGAGGGGGGAGGTACAAAAATCGGTAAAAGGAAGTCCATGCAACTGCTATTAGCAGCTCTGTTGTTTCAAATGATTGGAAATACCAAGTGCTAAGCATGAACACGGATATGAACCTGAAAGAGAGTAAGATATATGTCAGTAAATCAAACCTTTACTGTAAATAATTCTAACTTTAGTTTCAAATAGAGAAATATACTCACTATATAGTTAGTAGAATTCACATGCCAGTCATCTGGAATAAAAGCAAAGTATGTCAAGTATTCATTTGTGCAGAAAAATTTAATTACAGTATTATCACATATGACTCTAATTTTAACTTTTAATAATATAACAAAAATATATGCCTGATTCAAATATGATCCAAACATTCCCATGCATGTTGTAAATCAACAAAAAGTGAAGGAAGCATTGGGACAGAAGGAAGAAGTCACTGGAGCTAGAATCGGAGCACTGGGCCAGCTAGGTCACGACTCCACAATAACATGACACCCTTATTTGTTCTGTGGTCCATTTTATTCAACTCTGAACTTCAACAATTTTCCCAGGATCCTGGCAAGGGTGGACACTATCTCCTGAAGCCAGGTCAAAGTATCCATGTTATCAGTGTCTTCCTTGTGCTTTACTGTTAGTCTCTACCACTGTCTCCCAACACTCCCAGCCCCCAGGCACCAAATGTACTCAGCGCATGGAATCCATAGACTTGAAACAGGGTAAAATGTGGGGCAATGTTGGGGTGGGGTGGCTAATTTTTCTGAATTCATACTACTACTACTGAGAATTTAATGAGTATAATCCATCTATGAAAATAATCTTAGGTAGAGGAAACTGTTACTCAAAAATATTTGCTGAATTCTTACCAAATGTCAGGTACTACATTAGGCACTGAAAATACGTAGGTAAACACAACAGAGTTCCAGCTCCCCGTACGGCTGAGGAGCTGGACAAGGAAACAATGGTTTCCACACAGTGTAGGTTATTTATGAAAATGTTAGATCCTGGGAGCACTGAACTGTAAGGTGAGCTTTAGATGTGTTGCTGCAGAGAATAAAGTAGCCCCTTAAGTTTCTAGCTAGAGAACATACTTTCCACACTCCATCAGAGTCATTGTCTCATAATCACGGAAATTACACTCAATAACAATTATGGAACTAGAGTTAGCAGGATTCTGACGTTAAAAGAGCTATCTTTGGCTGGGGAAATTTACACAGCTACATGATTTGTTGGAAACAGGTTTTTTTTTTTTTTTGACAGGTAGAGTTGTAGACAGTGAGAGAGAGACACACAGAGAAAGGTCTTCCTTCCGTTGGTTTACCCTGCAAATGGCCACTACGGTCGGAGCTACACCAATCCAAAGCCAGGAGTCAGGTGTTTCCTCCTGGTCTCCCATGGGGGTGCAGGGGCCCAAGCACTTGGGCCATCTTCCACACCCTCCTGGGCCACCGCAGAGAGCTGGACTGGAAAAGGAGCAACCAGGACTAGAATCCAGTGCCCATATGGGATGCCAGTGCCGCAGGTGGAGGATTAACCCAGTGAGCCACGGCGCCGGCCCCAGCCTTTTTTTTTTTTTTTTTAATTTTTTTAAAAGATTTACTTATTTATTTGAGAGGCAGAGTTACAGACAGAGAGAGGGAGAGACAGAAAGAAAAGTCTTCCATCTTTTGGTTCACTCCTCAAATGGACACAATGGCAGGAGCAGGGCCGATCTGACGTCAGGATCCATGAGTTTCTTCTGGGTCTCCCATGTGGATGCAGTGGCCCAAGCACTTGGGCCGCCCTCCACTGCTTTCTCAGGCCATTAGCAGAGAGCTGGATCAGAAACAGAGCAGCCAGGACCCAAACTGGTGCCCATATGGGATGCCAGCACCGCAGACAGAGGCTTAACCTACTACCCCACAGCGCCGGCCCCTCGGTATCAGCTCAGGCTCCTAATTCCAGCTTCCCAATAATGCAGACCTTGGGAAGCAGCAAGGTGAAGACTCAAGTAAAGTCCCTGCCACTCATGAAAGAACTGGATTGAATTCCCAGCTCCCACTGTCCGCCCAGCCTCGTACCAGTCGCTGGATGGGAGCTCACTCTACCTTAAAAAAAAAAAAAAAAAGAAAGAGAAAAAGTACTAAGACGAATTCCTCAATGTGAAGAAAAATGAGTAGGAACACATGGAAGTAAAAAAATACAGAAAGGAATGAGTAACAACAAAACATAATATAAGGAATTCTGAATAAATACTGACTGCAAAAATGAGAAGTATAATGTCTTATAATATTTTAAGTATACTTCTACAATTAAAATATGACAACCATAACATGAAAGTAGTGGAATGAGAAATGGAATTAAAATTTCTACAGTATTTGTATGTCTGGGAAATGATCAAAGGATGAATTTACATTAGACTGTAGCTAAAGTCATTCTGTCCAGCACCAAGTACACACATCAGTATTTTAAAAAGGTCACATAAAAATGAAATTTAAAAAGTTGATTTTGGTGCAAAAATTTTCAAAATCCATGCATTTTTTCACAACACATTTTTCATGAACCTTCTGAAGATGCCTCATATGCATGTATTTCCAATTATTTAAAAAGAAAAAATCTTTTCAATCCATTTTTTCCATGAACTTTTTGAAATACCCTCCTAGTAAATCACATCCAAAACCTGAAAAAATATTTTTAAAAATACATAACATTGGAAAATCAGACTTTTTAATACTTTTTTAAAAGATTTATTTTTATTTATTTGAAAGGTAGAGATCCAGAGAGAGAAGGAAAGAGAAAGAGAGGGAGAGAGAGATCTTCCATCACTGGTTCATTCCCCAAATGGCCAAACTGGCTAGGGCTGGGCTAGGCCAAACCCAAGAGCTTCTTCCAGGTCTCCCACATGGGTAGCAGGCCCATGAACTTGGGCCATCTTCTACTGCTTTTCCAGGTACACTAGCAGGGAGCTGGACCGGAAGTGGAGCAGCCAGGACTCAAACCGGAGCCCATATGGGATGCCGGCCCTGCAGGCAGCAGCTTTACCTTCTTTGCCACAGCGCTGGCCCCAAACATCAGATTTTTTATACCCTTTTTCTCAGGCAAGTAAATTAACGATTAGGGAGTGGCCAATGTCGTGGCACAGTGGCTAAAGCAATGCTGGCATCCCATACAGGCACCCCAGTTCATGTCCTGGCTGCTCCACTTCCAGTTCAGCTCCCTGCTGATGTGCCTGGGAAAGCAGTGGAT